AATTGCTTAATAACCTGATAATTAGCTTCATCTACCCAGCAGTGGTTTGTGGCCTCTCTTCACTGCTCCTTTATAATAAAATCATCCGTAAAAAACGTCACCCCCGTTCTACTGCAGTATCAAGAATTATAAATTGGGAAAGTAAATTGGCAATGTATTAACGGGACACCTGTGTTAAAATTTGGGGTTTCCGGTATCCAAAGGTAGATAAATTTACCTGACAACTAGTGACAAAGACGTCAGATGCAGGTCCAGACGACCGTGTTGTAGCTATTTGTACAGTCCAATCACACTGACCACACCTCTGGCATCCTGATCGGGAGAAATTCCTCTTTCTTACGTTTCAGAAGTCTATCTTTAGACTTCGGTTCCAACTGTTCAGTTTCCTATAGAAGCCTGTGAGCGTCGTGTTAAGAGTTATTTACGAGGTACAAGGACTACAACAGTTGGAGAAACTATACATTAGTGGAGTGAGTTTGGAGAGCAAGAAAGAAAGAGATAGAGAGAGCGAGAGAGAGAGAGAGAGAGAGGGGGAAGGATTGTTATTAAGTCACGACAACATGCTACAGCGCGACTAACAGAGCGGAAGGAAAAGAAGCCGCCCAACCCGACCCTCCAGAAATATACAACATTACAGGACCTGAAAGTAGAACTTATAGTTCTTCCCTGTCTATAGGTTCAGGTATCAGGGATCAGGGTACATATAGGAGTGCGCATTATAAAGGAGCAGCTTGTTGCCTGCAGAGAGCCAGGACGCCCAGTTCTCTCGAACATGTCACTGCTCCTTTATAATATGTCAGATATTGTATCTTCCTGAGAACTTGGTTGCTGGCACTAGTGACATTTTTTAACTCGTCGGCTGTGTTCCTCAAATACCACCGGTCCACAAGTGCAACTTTGCTGCCAGCTAATTCTCCGCTCTGCAAAGTTACCGGGATTCCCCAATCATTATCGCCCTCAATTTTACTGCTCGATTAACTGTGCAATTAGAAAGAAATAACTGTTAGAAACAGGATGACAATTAGAATCGGAATTTCCGGGCTGGCCCGGTTTAGGTTAGTTGATAAATCAGGGGGGTGTTATACCCTCAGCTTCATGTCTGTTGGACACCTGGGAGTTGTTGCAAACTTGACTCTAAGTTCATTCCGCACCCACTTCCTGTTTTACCCTCCCTTAGCCGGATTCCCCTGCCTATGTACACTGGTATATATAGATACATGTCAAGAGAGAAGTGTCAGTGTTGTATCTTGATCCGATCAGGAGAGTCAAGTTATTTCTTTTACAATTCGGCCAATTTGCATGCGTCCTTCTGTCAGCTTTGAGATCTTATTGCTTATACTTATAGTTAGGATTGTTTGATTGGGAGGAATATAGAAAAGCTGGCAGTCAGGCAGTGTCACAGCTGATCTCTTGATCAGATCAAGATAGAGCCAAGTTGCCGATTTATAAGTACGAGGAATACAATTTGAGCAATTTTCCTCCGACCTCCTGTCAGCTGAACAATAAAAAGTTGTTTAGAGCTTAGCTTGTTTGTTTTACCTTGTCCCACTCCAATTAAAGACTTTGTAATTCAATAAAAACAAGTTTAACTCAGTCAAACAGGTTCCAGCTTTTGGTATACAGTTTCAGTTTTAATTCTTCTGATATGTGACTCAGGGAGTAGCCACCAGAGCCAGATTGGTTCTTCACTGCACCCTATTTAGGTCACACATTTAATGTTATTTGCACTGAAATTATCTGAACATCATATATAGCACATATAAATGTATAATTTCTAAATTAATCACCAACCCTGATAGTGTATTTTCATTAAGCGCAGATAAGAACCCCTTTTTCCCACGCCTATTTGGGAAACTTTTTTTTGCTTGAAATGTATTTATAAAGGAGCAGCTTATTTTGTAAAGTTGTGACGTCAGAGCACGGATTATCAGTATACTGGAACAAGATTGCAAAATTTAAAGAAAATGTTATCAGAAATTTAATTTTACAGTCCATTTCATAATAAGAAGGTAGTTTAATCGTGTTATTATTGTTTGTCTACACTACACTACACTACACTACACTACACTACACTACACTACACTACACTACACTACACTACACTACACTACACTACACTACACTTCACTACACTACACTACACTACACTACACTACACTACACTACACTACACTACACTACACTACACTACACTACACTACACTACACTACACTACACTACACTACACTACACTACACTACACTACACTACACTACACTACACTACACTACACTACACTACACTACACTACACTACACTACACTACACTACACTACACTACACTACACTACACTACACTACACTACACTACACTACACTACACTACACTACACTACACTACACTACACTACACTACACTACACTACACTACACTACACTACACTACACTACACTACACTACACTACACTACACTACACTACACTACACTACACTACACTACACTACATTTTACAGTCCATTTCATAATAAGAAGGTAGTTTGATCGTGTTATTGTTGTGTCTCGCAGCTGGATCTTTTGCTTTGATCCACGCTCTAATCTTACGCTTTTGTCACTGGCACTTCAGTACTTTTTTGAGTTCCGCTGTTTTAGCCTTTTAGGGGGCAATGACTTTTGGTGCTGAGTTACATCGTGCTGGTATTCAGTGAAATTCCTCTGTAAGTGTACAGACATTTATGAGACGTTGGTAGAATGTCATGCACGCATGTGTCCATAGAATTAGTTCCCAAGTTAAAAACATGAGGTACAAGTTATTAACTGCCCAGAATAAACGTATTAAAACTTAATAATCTTGTAAAATGTTGAGTTGCTTTTAAACCGATGTCCTAGTGTGTTTTAGTAATTATATCCACCAGCGTGCGCTTTTTCGCATAGCGGGCTCTCACCAGCCCGCTGTCAAAGGGCCCGTTATCTCTACAGCCCGCTCATGATATAGCCCGCTAACAAGTGACATTTAATTTGACCAGTAGCAATATAGCCCGGAGTTCTCTAAAATATTTTCAGTTTCTGTATCGTCTCCATGTGAAATTCCATAAGACAACAACTTACAAGTTACTTAGAACTATAGTTGAAACCGGTTTAATTCATTAACGATGAATTCAATTGCAATAATCGTACAGTGAGCTAATTAGTGTAGTTTCTGTTTCTAAATTCCCACGGCAATATGCAGTGGATGTAAAGAATTTATCAACTGTAAACTCTGATCGATCACCCTCTATCGGACGCTATATCAGTTGTCACGCAGTTTGCCATGATTGGCTCATAATTAACACGTGACACTGACACACTGTTACTATGGTTACCAAATTCGTGGAGACGTCCAGACTAAATTCTAAGCCGGTGATCTCTATTATAGTATCGATAATTGTTTTGTGTTTACCATTTCAGTTGTGTTTACCATTTTCATTTCACTAGTTCAGTCGATAAATCTTGAAATGTAGGCCGAAATTTTAGATGATATTTTGCCCTGTTTTTGTTTTGAAACTGCCATTTAAATTGATGTTATGAATAATGAATTTGATCTTTAACTTTCATATTAAATGTCCATGATCAGACTGTGATCTCGAGCTCTCTGGGTTACTACTTTTAAGTGTCCAGCCACTCAGTAGCTGCTACAGAAACTGTAGTAACTGGTTACCCGGGTAACCTTGGTTACCCAGGTAACTGACATGATAATGACAACTAACTTGGTAGTAGAGGGCTCTGTGGCGACTGGTGGTGCTTGTTCTGGTTCCAGGGAGGGAGAGGGGAGAGAGGTAGAGAAGTATAGAGGAAGAGTAGGAGAGAAAGAGAGGGAGATAAAGAGAGAGGGAGATAAAGAGAGAGGGATAGAGGGAGAGAGGGACGTAAGGAGAGTGGGAGAAGGAGAAAGGATAGGGAGAGAGTGAGAGAGGGATAGAGGGATAGAGGGAGAGAGGGAGAGAAGGAGAGAGGGAGAGAGGCCTATATTTTGATCGTTTACATTAAAATATGTACCTGAAACAATGAGCTGAAACATTGTTTGATAGCAGCCGGTTTTTCGTTCTACAGTCAGTCATTTTGGCCTGTTTTACATATTAAACCAAAAGCAACATGATTTTTTTGTAACTTTTCTGAAATCTTGTACATTAATTTGCTGTGATTGTTGCAAACTGAAGCTTTGTGATAAACGCCCGCTGATGGATATACACGATATCATTCCTCGCCTCGAGGGCGGAACTATCGAATTAGAAACATGTTGAAAGTAAAAGTGAAACTAAATTAAAAACGGATCTCTTGAAGAAACTAAAGTAAAAACTAATATCTGTAAGAAAAAGCTCACGCTGGTGGATATAATCCACATCACCTCGACCCGCGGGCGGAAAAATCGTATAGCACTCGGGCCCGATGGGCCCTCCGTGCTATACGAAAATATGTCCTCCTCGGGCTAGCGCCCTCGGGGACATATGAAATATTGCACGCGCGTGCGCGTGCAATATTTTGTTCCGCCCGCGAGTCTCCGGTGATATGTATATATATTGTGATCCAGCTGAAAATACCTGACATACTGGAATTAGTACGTGATTGTTTTAAAATATTTGCACGCCTATGAAACAACGAGGATTCTTGTTTAGCTGGTATGCTTCCGCATGCTTGTAGTTTCCATGGTTACACCCTGTTTTTAGGTTACATGCTTGTATTGTATTAAAATATATCCTCATGTTTAGGTTTTAGCTTCTGTTAAGTATTCCCTCATGTCCGGCTTAAAACATTTGTTTCTGTTTGGCTTTAGATCTTTTCCGCTATTGTTTTCATTTTGATTATATGTTCGATTTCAATATATTCTTCTGGTCAAATTTATTTTCACTTGTATCATAATGGCTCCCTCATGTTTAGTTTTTATGAATATTGCCAAAATATTTCATTGTGTTTACATTTCAACCCCTCCAACTATGAAATTGTTTTCCTTATATGTTTGACTAAAACATTTCCTTCTGTTTAGGTTCTAGCTCCTCCCACGATATGTTTTGTGGTGTATCTCTACTGCTGCTTTTCTGCATGATAATGCTCGAGATACGTGGAGCGCCTATTCGTCAATCCTCAGGTAATTATTACTTGCTCTCGTAGTGCAATGTAGTTCAGTGTATCAATACTTAAAAGTATTGCCATTAATGGCAACGTTTCATCCCAATAAAATAATAGTGTATGATTAAGTTACCAAAATAAATGATTCTTATACGTACTGACCAATGATTGTTACAAAATTAAAAAACCCTTACTTATTATATTATATATTATTATATATTATAATTATATATTATATTATATCATTGATAATATAATCCTTACTTTCCTCAGAAGACTATTCATCCTCTCCGTTAACGTGGCCTTATGGAGACTCAGGCCCCTTCCAAACGGGGAACGTTCTTCCAATTCGACTTCGCTGAACTCAGGTAAACACATAAAATTAATCGCTGTACAATTTGTACAGCTTAGGACTTTCTGCACAATGTGTAGAGTTATGTTCATTTGATATTTTTTCCATTCTTTTTTCCCTTCTATTTGTTGTTTAAGTTATCTAACATGATGTTAACCCAGACTGGGCCGCACTGACGAGCCTCCATCCCCCGGAGCCACCCACCCCGAGGAAAATATCAAATATAAAACCTACGACGGTGCTGTTGAGTTGTATTTTACAGTAAGTTTACACTTTACACCTTTTTAAATGTTCTTTTGCACTTTAATACAACTTTTGAAAGTTCAGTTTATCGGATGAATATATATCCGATATTTTAAAGTAATTACAGCACTACAAATCTATTACATTTATTGAGGACGTTACAGAAGGAATTGATTTAATGTAGTTGATTGATTCCTTACTCTCCTCACGTCCGAAAAGGCGAAAATGGCGTTTCTCTAGTATCAAATATATAATATGCAGTGCTCCTCAGCTCCTGCTCCTGCATGTCGTTTGTAATTTGTGAAGCTTCACAAATGATTTATATTCCGGGGGTGCACTAGTCGTTGGTCTTCATTAGTGTAATTTCATGGGCTTGACAATACGTTATATAAGGAATATATTATATAAGGAAGGAATTGTCAGCGAATTGTGTAGCTTCAACGCCTAGGCCAGTAATTCAAGTGCAGATTCCTCCTTAATTCCAGGTGAATCAGAGCTGACATTCTGCAAATCTGACGCCCTAATTATAGTCCTTGAAAGAGAAAAATTCCTGTTTTATACCTGGTTGTATACAGAAAAGTTAGACTTTGTCTATAAATAAAATTTTCTGCTGCCAAATTTAGAATCAGACCATTTTTATCGCGCCCAACAGGGAGGTGCCTGGCAAAAGGCATGAATTCTGGCAAAACAGCCTAGCACTGCCCTGGTGCAGTATTTTGATATGAATAATAAGATTAGCTGCTCTTCCCCTGCTCAAAGGCAGCCCACTTGGTGACGCAGACATATTTTATCAGAAGTTTAATTTAATGACGCCAAATCAGAAATTTAGAAATTTTCTAATCATCAAATTTTCTGACGCACTTCCACGGAAAGTTACACCAGTTATTGATAAATTAAAAATTCGTAAGATTTTATAGAAAGACCGATGTCCCAAATGAAACCCCGTAGTATAACACCCCAAGTGCACCCTTAGTGTATCCGGCTGGACGTGTCAGATCATTCCGCATTTAACTTTATTCCCATATAATAATTGTCCGACTATTTTCTATCTTACTTTAATCTCAAATTTCTTCAGGCTGGACCGAGCACAGAAAGTACCGAAGGAAACAAAATCCATCCTTACAGATCAAAGAAGATGGCACATAAAGTAAAGTCAAAACATTTTATCGAATCTAATACTTTCTTAAAAAGTAAAAGAAAGGTAGGATCATTTAAGGATAGTACCGCGGCCAGCGAAGGAACTGATCAACTTGAAAAGAGATGAACTGATAAAAGCTGATTTGATAGTTTGTAGATCAAGATAAACTAAATCTTTAGTTTTGTGTGACATATTGAAAAGTGAGATAAGTGAAAAGGTTAGATCTAACTTAGAGTTAAGATGTGATGTGCCTAGTGAATATGGTAGCTAACTAACTTTCTAATGCTTAACAGAGAATTCTCGTCCAGTCAATCGCCCACTGATCAGAAATTTAAACCCCTACAGTTCCAGAAGTCTAGTTTCTCATTCCCTGAAATCATTCCTGCTGCAGGATGTGTAGGTCTGCAGCAAAGGATGCCAAATTTTGTCAGCTTACTAAAGTCACTCTGCAATATTGCCTTAACGTGCATTTCTAATGACAAATATTTGGTTACACCCCATTTGTTAATCCAGATCATTGCTCAAAAGGCCCTACTCCCAAACAAAATATTCGTTTCCAACAAGAATTCTCTGAAAGTAGCGTAGCTGTAATTGTAGTTGTCAAGAAAGACCGGAAACGAACGTGTCAACTGTCGGAAGATTGTTTGATTTAGATAGAGTCAGTAGGTAAATCTTATTCTATAATTAATGATTGTAACCCAGCCCTCACTAATAGAATCAGTTTAGGGAGTTTATAAAACTTAAGGTTCCTGTCGCGGGTGTAGGAAGCTTATAAAACTTAAGGTTCCTGTCGCGGGTGTCATGTCTACACATTTATGACACGAGACTCCGCTTAAGCGATAATCGCTTTTTCCATATAAAACGAATTTCATTTTCTGCTGCACCCTTCCAGCGGTTCGACGGAATCGAAACTGGCACCCCCATAACGACATAATGAATTTTACTAAGCCCTAAAACATTTAGATAAAACCTGATAAGCGTTTAAAGGTGGGCTAGGTTACAGTATAAATTGAGCAGTATTGTGAACACTTTGAATACTGGTTGGAAGTTACAAAAAACCGGAAGCTATGTTTCCACCAAATGATTTTATCTATTTTACCGGACCTGTGAAGATGTCGGCAGAGTTTATTACTTTATTATAAATAACTACACTTATTATAAGCTGATGTTATAAGGTCCGAGCTCTTGGATTTGTGTTACATTGGTATGTGAGATGGATTTTGTAGATAAGGAAAGATAAAATGAACCTTGTAGATACTAGTGATAGCAGTAGACAAATGAACTAGACAAGTAGATAAGACTGTAAGAAGTAATAATAGTGATTATTACATTACAGGATCTGTTATTATAAGGGAAATGTGCAGGCGTTTCCTGCTGAGGTGGATTTTCGAATTAGTAACAGAATTTTGAGAATTTACCTGGAAACGTATATCAGCCATTTCAGAGCTGATTTTCTTCAGTTATTTACATTAATTATATAATTATGTAATTACTGTGTATTGTTAATTACATATGTAATTATATATTTTGTTTACAATTAATTTTGTTAATTAATTTGTGTAGACCAATTAAGTGAAATCAAAATTACCTTTAGGAGGAAATACTGAAATTTAATAAAAAAATAGTACAGTCAAAACTGTCATATAGAATAATAAAATATAATTTTAAAAATTGAATGATATTACTGAAAGGAAACCCTAACACTTTTATGATATAGTTGATCAAAACGTCGATCAATTTCGTCGTTGCATCAACAAACAACTTGTTCATATCACATTTTAAAAGACAGGCATGATCAAGATAGTCGATCAAGTTTTATCATAAAAAGACACCATCGTAATTTACAAATTGCATCCACACAACAATTATAATTTAGGTTATGAAATTTACTTCCATCGCTGTGGATTCAAAAAATGTCCAGTAAAACTTCAGAAAAGTTTTGATAATATAACCTCTTTGCACTGGGCAACATAGATAAAGCAACTTCAGCAAATCAGCTAAATGCATACACTATTATATTGTATATACTATTATAGTATTATAATTAAAAATATCAATCCGATAAGCCAAAGTACCAAATTCCAAGGCAATAATAATAATTTGTATAATCAGACTAATTAATGTAATTAAACTTGACAACCAACGGTCACAATAGATATTTTTTGAACGAAATTTTGGCTCTTCAGTATTTCCAACAGAGATAATACTTGGTTTATATCTGATTGTATTGTGTATTAGCATAAAAGCTATTATCCTGTTAAGACGGAGTATGTAACTAATAGTAATAACAAGTTGCAACCTATAATAATAATTGTGCCTTAATGTGTGATATTAATTTCAAAATTGTAAATTATACTTTGCTTTATCGTTATTCCCAAACCAATGACTGCGTTTCATTTTGTATTTTGTTTTACACAGTAATTCATAGTTCATACTCGATTTCAACTACAGGGTGTACCATGCAGAAAGTGTGACTTTTTTGAGAAATGGTGCAAAATATTATGAAGGAGCAGTTGCTAAAAACTCTTCATTATATTGTGTCAATATGCTAATATGTGTCGAATTTATGCATACAAAATTTCAAGTCCCTATAAGTTTTTGATTTCTCACAAATTGCTATTCTGTTATGGTGCTTATCCAAAATATTATGAAGGAGCAGTTTTTCTCCATCACGGAAGTAGTTTCTGATTCCTAGGTGGTATGGAGTTGTTTAAAATGGTTCGTAGCATCTCGGACAGTTCATCATGAACAGCGTCATAATTGAAACTCTCGACTTCTCGACCAGTACAGGATTGAAATTCTCGACTTCTTGACCAGCACAATTAAACGTTTTATAAGCATAACAGTTTAAGGCTTCCATACCTCATGTTGGTAATAATCCGACTTGCAGATGCTATTTTGCGCTCTTACGGCACTAACGCAATTACAAGAACTGTCCCTTACAAGAGCTACAAAACAGTTGTTCTAAAACTGTTGGCAGCTTCATTCTACCTTCCAGCATGTCAAGCAGGGACAAAAGGATTTCGCGATTATTTTGACCAAAAATCGCGAATTTTAACAGACTATATACATTAAACTATACATAAAATTTGTCGCAAATAATGGGAAAAATTGCGATTCCGTACATGCCGCGATTTCCTTTTGTCCCTGATGTCAAGGTATAGCACCCGCAGGGACAGTAACAGTGTTTCATTCCAGTACCTTCAAGGAAGACTAACACTATCCTCGTCGTGCTGCATTTCTGACTGATTAATCAGGCTAGATAAGTTTCCTCTGACCTGACAATTTGGCTTCTTCCTCGCTTCCTGGATGTCAATAACGTCCCTGACTCGGTTATTAAAGATCTTTAACCTCTCGTAGACCCTCATGTACACCCGTATTTGGTAAAAGAAATAAACAAGATACGCTAGTCCCATGAGGATAGCCAGCACCACTTTAAACTTTGACCTCTCCTTGTTCCTCTCCACTGGGTGAAGAAGAAGGGATATAACGAGGAGGGTGAATATCATGAACACACAATGAACAATTAACGCCACTATATGGCGGGTGCGGCGCTGGTGAAGTAGAGGGTCCGCCCTCCATTCAACCCAGGGTGTGTGATCGGTCATGACTCTGAACATGATGGCACACCTAGGACACCGCCCCTTGTATAGTGTGTTTATCCAGTCCAACAGACATTGCTTGTGAATCAGCCCCACAGTTGACGGACACTCGCAAGGTACGAAGAGGTCCTCAGCGAAGTCTCCACGGCCACAAAGCCAGCATTGAGGTCCTCGGATTATGCTATGGTCATTGGAGATATTAGCCAGAGCGAATGAGTCTGCGTTTAGTTCAGGACATTGTGACACGCCTGCTGCTACTGCTGCGGGTTGTGCTGTTGTGTGGTCACCTTGCTTCGTTTTGTGGTCATCATTTGACATATCCTGAGGGGATAATATTGTTTAGGATCCTGGTTTAAATTCTGTTTAAACAGTTTGGAGAGTAAAGAGGATATGGGAGAAGGATTTGAAGCCCTACATTACCTGAACAACTATTATGTCTAATCATAAATCATAATAGTCGTCTCAGTGGATATAAATTACCTGAACATCCCAAACTGCAAATTGCCTTATACTCTTATAAATCGCGTATTAAAGTTTAAGGGGATACGAAAAACGATCATATTAAAGCATGCTTTCTGTAGATTCTAAAAAGACAAGCTTCTGTGAAAGGGAGAAAGAAAATGTTGCTTCCTATGACTCCTTTCTCTTGAAGATATAGCCAAATAAATGCACTGTGAAAGTTTTTAATAAATTTCAATCATGAGATCAATCAACGTAAATTGTGCTGCAATTTGCACACAAACGTATATACGGTGCAGTGTTTTGAAATTAAATTATCAAAAACAAAGACAATGATATACAAAGTGATTCGTTAGGCTTTTAAGAGTTTAAGCAAGCAATCGATCTTTGAAAGTGGTCAATGGTTCAAATTACTGAATACTCTATTGAAGCTACACAATGAAAAAACAGTGACCATGCCCGAGGATCTACACAACTCCCTGTCACCATAACGACTCAATAACTTAATAGAGCTGACTATTATCCTTATTGAGTATTGACATATGATTATCCTAATTGTTAGGGTTATTATCGTAATTGAAGAACGACAAAGGTATTATCACTTGGTGATACTCACCATTTCTTCTTATCAACACCTATTGTCATTGGAGGGGGAGGAATGGGATATTCAGGGGGACATCAATAATTTATTTTAGCAGCTGTCTCAACCTTGCCAAATCACTGTAAAAATAATTTGTCGGTGATTCGGATAAACAGAATAAGATAGTTACTGACAGGGGTGATAATTATCGCTTACAGTCCTCCTAGCAAGTAAAAGCCCTTACATAATTTGAGGTCAACGCTTATAAAATGTTGAAAGATTTGGAGTAAACTTTGGATGATGGATCACAACAATGGAGAGAAAGTATCAGGAGCAAATACTTCAGTGCCTGATTACACTATAACAGAAGAGTATCCCACCTTCGTGGTCAGCTGTGGATAATGTTTTGGGATCTCAATGATAGAAAGAATTGTAGTAATTGTACAGCAATACTATAACTAATGTAATGGGACTACTGTGCAGTAGTCCCATTAACTTAGTATTGGTGTATGACTACTACAGAAGTAATCTAGATAACACTCGACCTCTGCCAGATCCAGAGGATGTCACAAGTTTACCTTCACACAGACATCGAACGTTGTAAGAAGATGACGATTAGACCTCGTTATGGAAAGAATTTATTAAAATTTCGCTGGATTGTACAACTTTCGTCTTGGTAGATTCCAAACACAAGGAAATTTTCCTTTTGGTTTGTAATATACTCAATGATGGGAGTATAGTGTATTGGCTATGCCCCGCTTACTAGTTTAGCTCTTTCTAGTCCCCTGCTACACGGCATGTAAACAGGGATTGGCTAGTTAGAGGCGGTCCGTGTAGGCCTTACACTGTGCTTTCAGCAATACTCATAGGTATATCAGGAGTGGTATGCGAGGGCCCATCATTTCAATGATAAGGATTGTTAGTCGGCAGCATCACATAACTGAGAAAACTTTCTGGTGGTATGCACAATTTAACAATTTAGGCTGGTGCTAAATAGTTGGCAATCATTTTGTTCGGCCCTGACTTTGTCTGCGATTATTTGGACAATAAAACAGAATAGGAAAGTTGCAAATCAAATCGTTCTCCAAATAGTGCAGAAGCTGCTTCCAAAATATTTGGAGAACGCTTTCGGATCAAAAAATGGAATTGGAAAGAAATGTTCAAACGAAAAATGTTCAAATATATCCAAAAAAGTTTTTAAAATGTTTAAAGACAAATTGTTCAGAATACGAACAGTTCGGCACGGACAGGTCGGAAAACTATATAACAAGGCTAATATGTGGACCTTACTTACTGCCAAAACTGACCTGTAGTATTAGTAATAGTTACTGACATGTTTTACTGGATATATAAGTGCATAGTTATCAATTATTTCAAGTTTCGTTTATGTCAAAGTTTAACATAATATGCTGAAATGTCAGATTTCCGGGAAGTTTTAGATTTTCTGAACTATAAAAGGAGAGAAAAGATATACAGCTCCTCAAAAAGATACTGTAGAAAGCATTTAGACGATAAAAATCACTTTTGTTGTTAGACGTATACTTTATTTACGTATATTCTACTATTCTATATAGTATATACGTATCTTTATAAATATTCTATAGATACCGTTTGTGAATAGCACGTAGTTACAGCGACCATAAGAGTATGAAGGTTTAAGCTGCACACTTAAGAAGGCTACAGTAATTAATAGCCTGATCCAATAACTAAAATGAACCTCCAAGCTAAGATGGTAAGTTCGTACGGTACGTACCTTTAAATTAGCTGTACGGTACGTACTTAATAAAGTAGACTGAAAGGTACAAATCCAGTTGATAGCAATAGAAACAAAAACTAGACGGTACGTGCGACAGAGAAGGGGTAAAACCCTACACTGATGCGGAATCAGAACCTATGAAGCTTATTAATCCGTCAATATACCTACTGGAAATATTTTGGAGGAGAACTTTTTCTGCTTAAACAGTTGGCCCAAATAGTATTCAGTGTTTAAAGTTCTTCGTCAATTTGTGAGACCAATTTTAGAGATTACGAGTATATGGACAAGCGTAGATTAAGGTTGCGACCTGAGCTAGCTGAAAAGCTGGTGTTCGTATACTGCAACAAAAGGATGAAGCTTTGAGGTTAACGATAATTACAAGTACCGGTTAAGAGCGATCCGGTACACAAATTTTCCTCTTCTTCTAATCTTTTATTGTTTTAACCACTGTGTTTATTTTCGACTTCTATCTCAAGAATTATGATGATAATACTAATCAAAAGCTGCAAGTAATTCACTGAAGTTGATTCTAAAAATTTGAAAAAAAATTGTACCTTACAGTGCCTGTACGGTACGTACCTTTAAAAGTAGCTGTACCGTACGTACTTAAAGCCCTGTACCGTACGTACTTGCCATCTAAGCCTCCAAGTGACCATTGTGGTATGGAATGATATACGAGCCTATACACTTATACAGTAGGTACAGAGTAGATATATGATTTCAACAAAGCCAGCTTTCTTACATTGACCCAGCTATCACAAATGTAGTTCTCCATGCACCAAAGGTGACTTTTCATTTTCCAAATCTAACATTTTTAAAGGTATGCGAAATTTCTTGTCCGTAAAAGTGTTCTCTCCGACACAAGAAATGTTTATTTGCTAAATGAATTGAAAAAATAACGAGAGCTTTTAATTTTGGAAGAAGCAGCTAATCCTGTAGAGAGGTTATAACTTACATTTTAATTTACAATCTCAGGAGTTAATTTACAAACTGCATCTGTCCCCCGCATAGTGTCATGCAGTCCGTTCATCAATATCACAAACAGCAAGCTGCCGATAATAAATAATGTTAGTTACACATTATAACGACTAAATTAATATTATGTGCGGGCGCGATCATCCTGACGTAGAAACTGCTTTCATGCTTGTTCTACGAGTAAAACGTGCATCAATCACACTACGGTAGTATAGCCTGAGGCCAGCCATGACTCGTGCATGTCTATTTATAGTATTATAGGTTTATTGCTAGCAAGCCAGCATAGCCCAAACCATGACTGAAATGTTAAATATGACCTAGGATGGAATCTAACCATTAACCGTTTGGCTAATAATCGATCCATCTGTTAAGAAATAAATGGATAGTCACTTATGTAGTTCTTCAACAGTTATTTAAGAAATATTTTTAAAACAAAGCGATTTAAAAAATCCTTATTCATTTTTCGCCAAGGGTCGACCGAGTCCTGGGCCTTGGCCTCAGTTTTACCGAGGAATAGCGATTTTTCCTCGGCCTCGGTCAGGAGGACAATTCCTCGGTTTGCCTCGACCTCGGTTAAAAATTACGTTGCTATTCCATATTCCTCGGCTTCAGCCAAATTTTGAAAATTTTAAGGGTCGACCGAGTCCTCGGCCTCGGCCTCGGTTTTAGTTTTACCGAGGAATAGCGATTTTTCCTCGGCCTCGGCCTCAGTCAGGAGGATAATTCCTCTGTTGTCCTCGGCCTCGGTTTTATCAAAGCAAAAGTTTCTCGGCCTCGGTCGCAAATCTTGCCCTCGCTCGACCCTTGTTTTTCGTACTTTCGAAAAATTATATGCACAGAATTTGATGAACGCACACTGCACTTGATCTATAAAGTTATAATTATAACTTGGAAAACGAGTAATGACTATTTCAGTTAGACATATTACTAGAGTTTGGAGTAATAATTGCATAGAATTCGGTTTACAAATTACAGCATAAGTGCAGAAATATTCAAGATTTAAAATGAAATATTACTCGTTGTTTGCAAATCTTGATTCTTTAAACGGTGTAGATTTTGAAAATAATTGACGTTTAATTACGAAATTAAAAATAAAATCAAACTATATTAAGATTAAAGACTGAAAAATAATGGTCACGTACAACGAATCTTGGACCTATGAGAGATTAAACACTAAACTAGCTTAGTAACTAGCTTAGTAACAAATCTTTTACTGTCGCTTGTGACGCATGTCGCTTAAAGCAAAAAATTTAATGAATGGTTACCGTGCCTCGCATGAAATATTTACCTAATTACTTGCACTTGTGTAAGTAAGTAGATACATTAGTTTCGGGCGTTGCCTGCTACATGCTATCCCTAAACTAAAAGTATGCTTTAATAATGTGACGCATGGTAATTGCACGCAAATCAACTGAAAGTGAATCTAAGGATCTATATTTGTACGTCATTAAACTTATACTAGATGGGATGATCACTCTACGTACTCGACTGCGTCACGTGACTTTTTCAACCCGTTCTCTAGCTAGGGTCCTGAACGACTATTCGAAA